ATGCCAGGAATGTTTTACAGTCACATCTTCACCATTTACACACGGACAAAATATGGTGGTTTTCAAAGAAAAAGGGACACATTTCACCAAAAGCATTACATCCTATCTTCATGACAACTTATTGGGATGGACCAACAAGTCATCAGCTGACTCTTCATCACAACAGTATCTCAACTAGTCCTAAGTACTAGTAGTTGTCATAACCATCGTTGGCATTAATAGTCATGGCAGAAGCACAACTAGTCATTACTATTACTATTCATTGTGAAAGCATTCTTAAGGGACAACTACTTCTAATTCTGTGATTTAAAAAAAAATACTTGAAAAAAATGGCAAATTGTCCTTGGGAAAAATATATCGTCTGTTGGTTGTTTGTAAAAATATGTTTTGTAGTTAACTTTCAGAAAGTAAAAATTAACCCTGCTATGTAAAGCACTGACAAAAGACAGTCTGTCTAAACAAAATCCTAGCACCCTAGCCCCATCATATTAAACAGTGTGCCTCTAACTAGTCATTAGTATTACTAGTCATCAAGAAAACAATATAATTACTAGTCAGGAAACCAGTTTGTAAGCCTTGGAGGTGGGAGCAGCACTAACCACAAGACGTTGAGCATAAAATGAGACAAAACCTTCTCATGTAGTTCTCATGAGCACCAAAATACCTTTAAATGGATATGTCATAAAATAATGAATTCTATTTAACATAACAAAATCTTTTGCCAATACAGATGGACATGAATATTTAAGGTTGGAAGGCCATGAAAGCAAGATATATGAAAGTGGACAACATGAAAGTCCAAAATGAAACCAATGTGTAATGGGTGCTTTCATGCATGTGCAACCACATCACTACCTTGTTGAATGGCAGTTTCCATGGCAACATAAGCATGAAATATTTTGAGGATGATATCACCTTTACCATTAACAATATACTAAAATTTCATGCAAAATCCTAATCCTATTCCTTTAGCGCACATACTGCGACAAGATAAAACGAAGGAGATACATAGAGGACTAAACTCCCTGTTCTTTCCACAAAACCTAATGGTTGTTGAAACTTTCCCTTGACAAGTGTATCCTATGTTTTAGAAGATCTTTCGAACATACTATGTGTCATCCTTCCCCAACCCACATCAAATTCTCAAACAATCTGTAAACAATCTTTTTAATCATCTACAATTTAGATGAAAGTCCTGTTGTCTTGTGTATTTAACACAAAACAATAGTGTAGAAAGAGAATATTGCCTTGTAACAAATATGGAAAACATTTTAGTTTCATCAATGTTTTAAATTGGCTTTTACAAAATATACATACAGTAACTTGACTGTATCATTCTAATAAGCACCCCCATGTTAATTTTCTAAGCATCCAAAGCGCTAATCATAGCATAATGGTAATGTACATGCAGGAACTATTGGAACCCAACACCCTGTTACACACTATGACCATGTTGTATATGAACACAACATTGTGTTACACTGATCAGGTTGTATCTGAATACAACACTGTTACACATTGTGAAAGATCCAGGCAATGTCGACAATACACCACACAGTATAAGCACTATAACAACTATTATGCACTGGGGACCCACCATGTTGTCCCAAAGCTTCCACTATCAGTGTTGTATTTTGTGGACTTTCTCAATGACACAACAAGGTAAAACAAAACTTGGAGACCTAAAAAATCTATTTACTTTGTTAAAGTTGAAGAATATTTCTGAACACTTTTGTCTGAAAGCTTTCTTGTCATCATCAGTGTTTGAAAATTAAAAGGGTGGGATGATACAAGGTTATAGTCCATTTGGGTTCATATCCTGTTGGGTACAGAGGTTTCAGAACCATGTGTCTTATTTATGTTTTGTGCACTTATCCCAATTTTGAGTTATTTAATCATTTGTCGTTCTCATTTGAACCCAAATGGACTATAAGTTTACAAACAAAAAATTTAATTTTAATTTTACATACAAATCTTGATCTTCCAAATCTCCTAACTTTAGCACACCGGCAATGACATGAAGAATACCAGAATATTCCTGAACGCTTTTGTCTGAAAGCATTTATGTTACCATCAGTGTTCGAAAATTAACAGGGAACAGTGTGGCACTTAAGGTAAATTTTCACATCATATACAAAACTTGATCTTCCAAATCTCCAAATTTTAGAATGACATGAACCATGACACTAGTGCCTAATTCCGAACACTGATCTTCTTACTGAGCAAAACAATGGGATAAACGTCGGGAATATATACAATGACTAGGTTGATATGAGTATGATCAACACGGCAAGTGTGTTTGTCTGCACCAATGAAGTCATTCAGGCGATGAACGCTACCAACATAACCACAAATATGACCATCAAATAGTAATGATCAGTAATGATGAGATAAGGAGGGAAATATAGACAGCAAACACTGCAAGAGAGTAAGAACAAAGGGGGATAACTCCCGAGAATGAAGGGAGTTAACTCTTGATGAACACACCTCATGCCAAAGATATAAACTTATTTTCTAAAATGAACTAAATATTTAATCAGACATCCTTTGTTTCATCTTTGTCTGAGTCAGCCCCCATCTTTGTAATTATTATGTTACACTGTTTTGAAGTCTTTACATCCAGCATACACCAAGCACTTCATACAAGATCTACAACCACTTAATATAAACTAATAGAAGCTTGAGCTAGGGTTGAACACTAAGTGAATATATGATTGGATAGGATTTTATACCAAACCCTACAAGGTATCATTAGTTTAAAAGACCTGAGATGACCATCAATATCTACAAATTATTTACACAAATTCAGTTTAAACTGATTTGTCTTTGAATTTCAGTGTGTTGAAAAAGGGAAAATTCAATGATATTATGAAAGTTATATTGGTATTTTTTTTTTAAGACTCTGTATAACAATATCTCTGGAAGTTTTCCATAATACTATATCAACAACATATCTGTTATTTTTCATTTTTCGGTATTAACAATATCAGTGGTATTTTTCTGCAATACAATATTAATAATAATTATCTTTGGTAGTTTCTAACACCAAAAGTGAATAAACATTTCATCAAAACATTTTAGATAACATATCTGAAATTACTACAAGTAATGGACAATGTAAGTATAGACAGCCCAGGAATGAAGCTTCAGCAAAATGAAATGGCAGCAGCAAGGTCAGGTAAACAGCAAGGTCAAGGTAAACAGCAAGGTCAAGGTAAACAGCAAGGTCAAGGTAAGCAGCAGGTCAAGGTAAGCAGCACAAAGGTCAGAGGATATATACAACATGGAGCTATTACACACAATATCACAAAACATGAGAAACAAATTGAAGGATTCAATGAAAGAAATGGCAGCAAGTGTACGGACGCTTCATACTACAAATGAAAGGGTTGTCAAATATCTTTAAAAAACATGCAACAAAATACAGTTATTGCTTCTAAGCTGAATTAACAGAACTTGCACGACACTCATAAAATAATATCGCTATTGCTTCGAAGCAGGTTAGCTGGTGACTATATGGATATAGATACTTCCTAGACAGTATATTGTTCACCGTAACTATGGTTACTAGAGAACAGTGTCCGTGTGCGGTACCATCAAACAATGTCACAACAGAACAGTGGTATTAAAGATGGCTGCCGGTGTGTAGTGGTTAAGATTAAATGAGAGTTATTGTAAAAAATCTTGAATGATAAATTTCTGTGTTGCTTTGAACGTTTTTGAGCAAGGCACATTTATGATACAAGTTACTGGTGGTCGGTGGATTTGTGATTTTGACATTTTGAATTCTTATCATTACCAGATGGTTGTTGTGAAACAAAGCACTATCACTGGGCTTTACGCCGCTTTTAGCAATATTCGAGCAATATCACGGCGGGGGACACCAGAAATGGGGTTCACACATTGTACCCATGTGGGGATTTGAACCCAGGTCTTCATCGTGATGAGCAAACACTTTAACCACTAGGCTAACCCACCGCCCCCATACACGAGAGAGGTTGCAAAAACACACCAGCAGACATCCTTAATAAAACATGTCAAAGTAGAACACTGTTCTACACAGTTGATACAGCAGATCGCTACCATCACACTTCTATGTTAAACCAATGCGCCATCTAAAGCTATTGTGATAATGCCATTTCTTACCAGTTAACAGTCTCAGGCACTTCAGGAAATATAGCGTTAACACTTGGGTTGGTTACCATGGAAATTGATAAAAATCGTTAGTGTAATGTCAACTGTTGTTATGGTGATTTTGCTGTATCGGAAATGCCACGGATATCACAGTCATCGTTCTTTGGTGCTATATCTCGACAGCAGTACAGTCTTCAATAACTCTAGCATTTTAAATAAATGACATGAATAAAGCTTTCGTAAAAAGCAAATTCTGGCGAATTTTACCAGTATGTGACGTATTGGTGAGAAACAACATAGTGACATAGCTACACAAACAAGCTGAGTGACACGTACACAACAGCATCTAACCTGAAACTGTCTGCCACAGCTGTAGAACTTGGAGTGAAAGAGGGAGTGAGTGAGTGAGTGAGTTGGGTTTTACGCCACTTTTAGCAATATTCCAGCAATATCACGGCTGGGGACACCAGAAATGGGCTTCACACATTGTACCCATGTCGGAAATCGAACCCAGGTCTTCAGTATGACGAGCAGACGCTTTAACCACTAGGATACCCCAACGCCTCCTGTAGGACTTGGGGGGCGGTGGGGTAGCCTAGTGGTTAAAGCGCTCGTTCATCACGCCGAAAACCCAGGTTCGATTCCCCACATGGATACAGCGTGTAAAGCCCATTTCTGGTGTCCCCCGCAGTGATATTGCTGAAATACTGCTAAAAGCGGCGTAAAACTAAACTCACTCACTCACTGTAGGACTTCGATGTAATATGGGTACTGAACATGGCCTTTTTATTTATTCTTTACAATCTCTGTCACAATATGGCTGAAATTTTACCTCACTGTTTACAATATGACACCTTTAAATTCACTGTATTAAACATATTTTATTCACAAATGGTGAATGGGTTTCGGCCATTGTTCTCTGACTTCATTCTTTAAAATGATTAGGGTGAATTATTTTATGACAATATAAAGCAAGGTTGCTCCAGCACCACGTAGCACAAAGTGATCGCAGCGCTAAGATCATCGTAACTCCCATATTTCAACATAGGGCTTATGGTAGTTATAGCACTAAGATCATCGTAACTCCCATATTTCAACATAGGGCTTATGGTAGTTATAGCACTAAGATCACCGTAACTCCCATATTTCAACATAGGGCTTATGGTAGTTATAGCACTAAGATAGCTGTTGCAACTGCATCCTTGGCAATGACTTTACACGGTCTTATATGTAGTTAAATGAGTTATAGAGGTATGACTGCATATGATGTCAAGAGATGAATCTGAACACTCTTCTTCTTTATAAGCCCTCAAATCACACTTGCAAAGACAGATCTAACACTAGCATCAATCTGAATTGTATTTAATTACTATTTAGGAAATTTGATTGCCAGATTTGGGTGAACATCTAAGACAACTAAGAACGCCTGGCAATGCTGTTACACAAGACAGCACAGCTAATTAATCCCATTTTTACATTATGGCCAGACCAAATATATCCAAATGGAACATGGTGCACTAAAATGATCAAAGATCACTGGCTCATACATATGCGGCAGACAGTAACAGATATACATCATCGTCAATACTTCCCCATTCTGTATAAACAATATTTCTCCTTCATCTGTAAATACATAAGACCAAATACAGTGCAGCATGCTTGGTCGAAGCAAGAGAGAAACAAGCTATAGCTCTCAATCAGTGATCAGAAAGACCAGTGCTCTGACCAATCAGTGATCAGATAGACCAGTGCTCTGACCTATCAGTGATCAGATGGACCAGTGCTGACTAACCAGTGCTCTGACCAATCATTGATCAAATAGACCAGTGCTCTGAATAACCAGTGCTCTGACCAATCAGTGATCAGATGGACCAATGCTCTGACCAGTCAGTGATCAGAAAGACCAGTGCTCCGACCAATCAGTCATGAGATAGACCAGTGCTCTGACTAACCAGTGCTCTGACCAATCAGTCATGAGATAGACCAGTGCTCTGACCAATCAGTGATCAAACAGACCAGTGCTCTGACCAATCAGTTGTCAGGTAGACCAGTGCTCTGACCAATCAGTGATCAAATAACAACAGCAAAATTTCTCATTCAACAGGCAGCCTCAATATCGGCTGCGGAAGTGTTCTCATTAAACACACACACACAGAGTAGGGTTTGTTTGACTTCATGAGTTCTAGTCACCCATGTCCTTCCTTGCTGGACTTAGAATAGACACACATCATCTCTACACTGCATGTCAGCTGTACATCTTCACAGGTATTGAAGTATCGACGATGACTGAACATAAGTTGACAGGAAACATCACAGGACATCCTCCTACACAGACGGATTTCAGTTATAAAATAAGACAGCTGTAAAAAATATCCACATTGTAAAATGCTATCTTCCAAGCTTGTTCCCATATATACAAAGTCTGAAGTGTTTAAAAGCCCTCTAGGATGGATGAGGTCAACACAATGGCAGCCGTATCGTTGCTTTCAGGTCAATGCATGAAGTTTTCTATGTGGCGAAAGGGAGACAATTCACATGAAGAAGAGTTTCATCACCAGAGGGCAGTGGTTCCATCTTTACTGACAATCAGCTGAAGACCTTGTGAAGCTGAAAGAGGGAGAAACAAGTGGTTGACAGTGGGTTATCTCCCCCTGAGTAGTATTTCCCTTATGTTACGGCTTGAGCTGGTTGGTTGTTGTTTAACGTCACAGAAAGCTATTTTCCAGCTATGGCAGCGGTATGCAAATAAATGAGTGGACCAGACAATCCAGTGATCAACAGCATGAGCATCGACCTATGCCATTAGGTTATGATGATGTGTGTTAACCACCCCATTCCGTTAGTCGCCTCTTACAACAAGCATGGGTTACTAATTCTAACCCGATCTTCACGGGGGATCAAATCAAACCTGGGTCTTCAGGGTGACAAGCAAACACCTAAACCACTAGGCCATCCCTCCACTACCCCCATGTTGGTGTAAAGTCATTTACAAAACAAAATCCCTCATTTGGTGACCTACATTCCTCATCCTTTTCCACCGGTCCAAGATCTGTTCCCTGGAGAAGCTCGTCCACCAACGCCTCGGCATTCACCCGCGTCTGGTCCACCCGCAATTCCTTCCCAGACTCCTCCATTTTCTGTATGGACCAATCAGAGGTGAGAGTTAAATACTGTTTAAAGCTAACTGAATTTATAAAAATTTCTGATGTGACATTTATAGTGTATTTCTCCTAGAAACATTAATAACATAGTATTGGATCAAGAAGTTACGTGCATCGATTTGTCAATCATTAATATTTCATGATATTCTTTCTGATTTGTAACTAAGTCATAATCTATACATTCCATAGAAACATTTAAAAATATATTTGTATTAAAGAATTCATTGTTTATTGTTTAATGTGAATATTTTTCCCCTGTTTGATGTGAATATGTACATACGTACATCACTTATAGAATAATAACCATAACAGCTGCTTGAAAATCATTTACGAAAATAGAACAAATTAAAGTGTGCTTTAAAAAAAACAGTGAAAAACTTCTATGAAACAAAAATGTGTGAAAGAATGTAATCATAGCCGAGTGCTTCAAGCCCTCAATAAACATATACTACAAAGATGAAACAGTGCAAAAATGTTTACATGTCCCTTTACAGTAAACGTTGATATAAACATTGCCTTCTGTACTGAATGATCACATAAAATACAAGTGGTTTCAAAAATAAGTCAATTTAAGTCCTCATTTTGAGCTAGAGTTAGGGAATGAACAATATCGAAACTTTGAAGCAATTAGGATGAAGTATAAAAAAATCATGTTAAGTTAAGTCCTCATTTTGAGCTAGAGTTAGGGAATGAACAATATCGAAACTTTGAAGCAATTAGCATGAAGTGAGTATCAGAGAGTGGTCGATAGTATGAGCACACTCACTGAAGGAGCAAGTTATGGTGTTCTAAGGGCTACACATGGTTATATAGCATGGAGTATATAGGGCCTACAACATAGGAAGATTATAGGTGTAATATGTGGTGTTAGTATAGCTGACTACAAAACACTGCAGTGTGACCATTAGGTATGTAACATGAGTACATCCAGCAGTAAAACCTGGGTCAAGCTAGTCCCAAACTAACAATTAGTTAGGCAGTATTTTCTTTATAACTACTGGTTTACTGGTATTCGCTGTCATTCGATCAAAAAATACATAAATTTAAATAAGGTCACCAGTACCCAATAATACTGTTGATGTACAACATTCTGATTACTGTGGATGTACAACATTCTGATTACTGTGGATGTACAACATTCTGATTAATTCTGATGTACTGTTGATGTACAACATTCTGATTACTGTTGATGTACAACATTCTGATTACTGTTGATGTACAACATTCTGATTACTGTTGATGTACAACATTCTGATTACTGTTGATGTACAACATTCTGATTACTGTTGATGTACAACATTCTGATTACTGTTGATGTACAACATTCTAATTACTGTTGATGTACAACATTCTGATTACTGTGGATGTACAACATTCTGATTACTGTGGATGTACAACATTCTGATTATTCTGTACATTCTGATTACTGTTGATGTACAACAACATTCTGATTACTGTTGATGTACAACATTCTGATTACTGTTGATGTACAACATCTCTAATTACTGTGGATGTACAACATTCTGATTACTGTATGTGTTCTTGATTACTGTGGATGTACTTGTTGATGTAATAACATTCTGATTACTGTTGATGTACAACATTCTGATTACTGTTGATGTACAACATTCTGATTACTGTGGATGTACAACATTCTGATTACCGTGGATGTACAACATTCTGATTACCACTGTTGATGTAACATTCCTGATTACTGTTGATGTGCAACATTCTAATTACTGCTGATGTACAACATTCTGATTACTGTGGATGTACAACGTGCAATTGCTGTGGATGTACTGTTGATGTACAACATTCTGATTACTGTTGATGCGCAACATCCTGATTACTGCTGATATACAACATTCTGATTACTGTGGATGTACAACATTCTGATTACTGTTGATGTACAACATTCTGATTACATTGTTGATGTACAACATTCTGATTACTGTTGATGGTACATTCTGATTAATGCTGATGTACAGCATTCTGATTACTGTTGATGTACAACATTCTAATTAATGTTGATGCACAACATTCTGATCACTGCTGATGCACAACTTATCTCTGATTACTGCTGATGTACAACATCTCTGATTACTTGTTGGATGCAATACGCACACGAGATCACTGTTGATGCAATAAACATTCTGAGTCACTGGGTTACGTACAACGTTCTGATCGCCGATGTACAACATCCTGATTACCGCTGATGCACAACATCTCCGATCAATTGCTGATGCACAACATTCTAATTACTGCGCATGTACAACATCTCAGATTAACTGTGGGATGTAATAACATCTCTGATTAATACTGTGTACTATTGATGCACATACTACTGTTGATGTACAACATTCTGATTACTGTTGATGTACAACATTCTGATTACTGTTGATGTACAACATTCTGATTACTGTGGATGTACAACATTCTGATTACTGTTGATGTACAACATTCTGATTACTGTTGATGTACAACATTCTGATTACTGTTGATGTACAACATTCTGATTACTGTTGATGTACAACATTCTGATTTCACTGTTGATGTACAACATTCTAATTACTGTTGATGTTAAACATTCTACTACTGTGGATGTACAATCTTCTGATTACTGTTGATGTACAACATTCTGATTACTGTGGATGTACAACATTCTTGATTACTGTTGATGTACAACATTCTGATTACTGTTGATGTACAACATTCTGATTACTGTTGATGTACATTCTGATTACTGTTGATGTACAACATTCTAATTACTGTTGATGTACAACATTCTGATTACTGTTGATGTACAACATTCTGATTACTGTTGATGTACAACATTCTGATTACTGATGATGTGTACAACATTCTGATTACTGTTGATGCACAACACTTGTTGATTATTGTTGATGTACAACGTTCCTGATTGCTGTTGATGTATTAACATGCTGATTACTGTTGATGTACAACATTCTGATTACTGTTGATGTACAACATTCTGATTGCTGTTGATGTAGTCAACGTCTCTGATTACTGTTGATGTACAACATTCTTGATTACTGTTAGTGTACGGCATTCTAATTACTGTTGATGCAATAACGTTCACGGTTACTGTGGATTAACGACATTCTGGATTACTGTTGATGTACAACATTCTGATTACTGTTGATGTAATAACATTCTGATTACTGTTGATGTACAACATTCTGATTACTGTTGATGTACAACATTCTGATTACTGTTGATGTACAAACATTCTGATTACTGTTGATACAACATTCTAATTACTGTGGATGTACAACATTCTGATTACTGTGGATGTACAACATTCTGATTACTGTTGATGTAATAACATTCTGATTATCATTGTTGATGTACAACATTCTGATTACTGTTGATGTACAACATTCTGATTACTGTTGATGTACAACATTCTGATTACTGTTGATGTACAACATTCTGATTACTGTTGATGTACAACATTCTGATTACTGTTGATGTACAACATTCTGATTACTGTGGATGTATACAACATTCTGACAACTATTGATGTACAACATTCTGAATTAATGCTTGATGTACAACATTCTGATTACTGTTGATGTACAACATTCTGATTACTGTTGATGTACAACATTCTGATTACTGTTGATGTACAACATTCTGATTACTGTTGATGTACAACATTCTGATTACTGTTGATGTACAACATTCTGATTACTGTTGATGTACAACATTCTGATTATTCTGAGTGTAATATTTTTTGCTTCAAATCTGACCGTTATTGAGTACTAGTAACCTCTATCTCAATTGTCTGCCTGAATGACTACAGTGCAACATGTTCAAGTTAGCTTACTGACCCTTACTACTGATATATATGCCTGTTACCATAGTTACAAAGACAAAAGGGTGCAATAAATATATATGTAGAGAGTGTCACATCAGATTAAGCAGTACAATAACCACAGGTGCCCATCACCAACATTTAACAGCAAAGTATTATACCTCCACAAGGGGTCGGCGACCCAGAAGGTCACATCAGATGATGCCTTCCCCATACTGACACCCAAACATCATCTCCTGGTGATCCTCAGTACCATGACCCCCATCCCTGGTGACCCTCACAACCATGACCCCCTGGTATCCCTGGTGACCCCTCAGTACCATGACCCCATCCCTGGTGACCCTCAGTACCATGACCCCCATACCTGGTGAACCTCAGTACCATGACCCCCATCCCTGGTGACCCTCACAGCACCATGACCCCATCCCTGGTGAACCTCAGTACCATGACCCCATCCCTGGTGACCCTCACAACCATGACCCCATCCCTGGTGACCCTCAGTACCATGACCCCATCCCTGGTGACCCTCAGTACCATGACCCCATCCCTGGTGACCCTCAGTACCATGACCCCCATCCCTGGTGACCCTCAGTACCATGACTTCCATCCCTGGTGAATCTCACAACCATCCCCCATCCCCCTTGACCCTCAGTACCATGACCCCCATCCCTGGTGACCCTCACAACCATGACCCCATTCCTGGTGAACCCTCACAACCATGACCCCATCCCTGGTGACCCTCACAACCATGACCCCATCCCTGGTGACCCTCAGTACCATGACCCCCTCATCCCTGGTGACCCTCAGTACCATGACCCCATCGCCTGGTGACCTTCTCAACCATGACCCCATCCCATGGTGACCCTCAGTACCATGACCCCATCCCTGTGACCCTCAGTACCATGACCCCTATCCCTGGTGACCTCAGTACCATGACCCCATCCCTGGTGACCCTCAGTACCATGACCCCCATCCCTGGTGACCCTCAGTACCATGACCCCATCACCTCCAGGTGCACACCTTCACATCCATGACCCCCATCCATGATGACCCCACATCCATGACCCCATCCCTGGTGACCCTCAGTACCATGACCCTATCCTGGTGTGACCCCCCAACATCATTCCAAACATGGACCCTATACAACAGTACCATGACTCCATCCCATGGTGACCCTCCTGTTACCCCTTAATATTATGACTCTCTCATCTGATGTTGACTTCCCCTATCACAGCCCATACTCCAGGTCTAATCCAAATATGTTGCCCTTGCACCCCAATATCATGACCCCTGCCCCCTGGTGACCCCAGTATCACAACCTTGATCCCTCCCCCAACATTCCCCTGAACCACCCCCAACATAATGCCCCTGGTACCCCTCAACATAATGCCCCTGGTACCCCCAAACATAATGCCCCCTTGTACCCCCAACATAATGCCCCCCCCAACATGGGGCACCCCAACATAATGCCCCTGGTACTCTAACATAATGCCCCTGGTACCCCCAAACATAATGCCCCTGGTACCCCCCAACATAATGCCCCCCCTCAACATGCCCCTGGTACCCCTAATGCCCCAACCCTGGTCCCCTAACATAATGCCCCTTGGTACCCCCAACATAATGCCCCCCTGGTACCCCCAACATAATGCCCCTGGTACCCCAACATAATGCCCCTGGTACATAATGCCCTCCCCAACATAATGCCCCCTGGTACCCCTCAACATAATGCCCCTGGTACTGTGCCCCAACATAATGCCCCCTGGTACCCCCCTAACATAATGCCCCTTTGTACCCTAACATAATGCCCCTGGTACCCCCCAACATAATGCCCCTGGTACCCCCACATAATGCCCACTGGTACCCCAAACATAATGCCCCTGGTACTCTAAACATAATGCCCTGGTACCCCTGACATAATAAACCCCCATAATTTCCCCCAATTACAGGTGTAAGTAGTGCAGAAAGAGAAGAAAGTGGTATTACATGCTGACTCACTCTCCGCCGCTCCGCCTTCCACTCTAGCGATGACCCCGTGCTAGGAGTTCTGAAACAGTCAAACACTATGCTATAGTCAATCATCACCATTATATAATCTTGCCCAATAAAAGGCTTAATGTACTCAACCAAGGTAATTCTGTCTAGATGTTTTCTTCGGACAGCTCAGAGCCAAGATCATTACCATGATAGAATGTGTCTTGAGTTTTTCAACCGTAAATTCTTTTGTTACTTTCATTCATAAAATACGCGACACTGTAAGTACCACTCCAACTTGTTAAAAGTACAAGTTAAATGTACAACAAAACTGATTCAAGATTCATCAATAAACAAAACAAATATATTAAATAAAAAAATGTTATTAAAAGATCTAGCAACACCTTGAATAATTTTTTGAAAACTTTGAAATAATAATGCAATGATTTATAGTATTCTATAATTGAAACACAGAATTTGTCAAATATATGACTACACCCAATTTATTCCTTCATCAATGACAACAGCCTGCAATAGTGTCTGGACCAGACAAACCAGTGATTGATATCATGAGCAATGATTCATACCATTCGGGTATAATGACTTGCAATCTCCCCTAGTAACGGAGCCTGACCACCCAGTCCATTTGGTCACCTCACCACCATACATTGCAAGGGGTCATTGAAATGAATATTGAAAACGACCACATGACTCTTTACCAATATATACTACTCACACTTTGCTAAGGTTCACAACTTTATTACACGTAGATTCATAATATGAAATTGTATCCATTTAAAATTGGATAAACTATAATATAGTAAACCCTCTTTAGGCAAACAGCCACTTTAATCTAACCTTATGCACCTGATACATGAGTAACCATAAAATAGTTTTTATGGCACCAACCATTTTGCAAATTATGGAACAAGTCATTGAGAAGAGCACATCACCTGTCAATAGCAGGTATGGGTTCCACAAGATGAAATGACAAACTGAAACCTAGGGTCCATGCTTACAATAAGCTTAGATATTTAAACCAAATTAGACCCCACATCATAGTTTTCTGTTGAATCCATGATTTGATCCTAAGCAAAGTGTGAATAGTATACAAACCACATGCCATAAATATGGTGACACAAATGACAGATTTGCCATTTGTTGACTATATTATTTACTTTACTCCTTATAAAGTAAACCCTAAATGATTGTCATGCTCCAACTTGGCAAGGCATTCTTATGCTGTTATTCATGTCTTAGGTACTTCTTGAAAAGCCAGGCTTAACAGTTGCCATGGAAACTGAGCATGCTTCATGTCCAAAAATGCATGTGCATTCAGATGGAGAGTTTTTGTACAAGCAACAGATCAGTGCTGTGGCTTGATAAGGGATGCCCTGATCTTCAGTGAGCATATCCCCTTCTTATACTCTGGTATAGAAGACAGCATGCGGTGACCCACCCTCGGTACCAGTTCCAGGCCTACATGAACACCATGCCATGCCTGTCATGATGAGTGAGTGAGTGAGATGGGTCAGTCACCACAACAATATTTCAGTTACATCACGGTGTGCAAGCTTGACGTGGGAGGATACCCTCCAATGATGCACGTCCGAGACGTTTACGACGTTGCTGGTGAAACAAACAAGCATGTGTATTGTGCCCACACAAAAGTTCATCATACAAATTAATATATACCTGGAGCAAACTGTTCCCCTTCTTAATGTCATCAGTATATTACATCATAATAGGTGAGGTGAAATTGGGTTTAACGTCAGCGGCTTTTGAGAATATTTCGCTCATATGACGACGTGAATGCATGTGTATGTGCGGCTGCTTGTACTAGCCCAGACTAAAGCTAGTTTTATAGTGCTAGCCCACTGAGATACCATGCTGCAGTGAAGCATGAATACCCCACTCAGACACATTATACTGACTCCGAGCCGACCAGTCCTTGTTGTACCCTTTATGGCGAGCGCCAGGCAGGGACCAACAAGTACCATATTTTAACGTCTTTTTGGTATGACGCGGTCGGGGATCGAACCCTGCGACCTTCCGCTCTCCGGGTGGATGCTCTAACCACTACACCACGGAGGTGGTCCTTCTGGTAATACAGTAAGTGAGGTTTCAACAATATTTCAGCAATATCATATTAGGGAGCAACACAAATGGGCTTTTGACATAGTACACATAAGGTGAATGAAAATAAAATAATGTTTTCTACACACTAATGTCATCTTGTCAACGTTGCCATGTCAACAATTTCAGTGTTACCATGGTTACTCTGAGGTCCATAACTCCGAACTACTCCAGCTATCTGATGGTTCTTTCCACACAAGTTACATACTACTGCTACAAAAACTACTCTTTGCTAGGATGAAAAACTATTATTCAGGAAAAGAAAAAAAACCCCAGTCTAACTAGGTGTCTTATGTAAGCATTCAGTGGAACATAATGCCTCATTTAACATGTTTAAATAATTATAGTTCAGCTTTTTCCTTCAACTAGATTTGAGGCTATTCCTTCTTACAGCAAGACTGACTGAGTTTAGTTTTTACGCGCTTTTATCAATTTTCCAGCAATATCACATGCGGGGAATACCAGAAATGGGCTTAACACATTGTGCCCATGTGGGGAATCGAACCGGGTCTTCGGGCGTGACGAGCCAACGACTTTAGGCTACCCTCTACCGCCCCTTACAGCAAGAAGAACTCTCACATAGTTATATTGTTAATTATGTATTGTATAAATTGCTATCACTTGTTCAGATGGAGTGAGTGAGTGAGTGAGTTTGGTTTTATGCCGCTTTTAGCATTATTCCAGCAATATCACACCAGAAATTGGCTTCACACATTGTACCCATGTGGGGAATCGAACCCAGGTCTTCAGCATGACAACCACTAGGCTACCCCACCACCCCTTGTTCGGATGGAAGTAGAGTTAGTGAGTGAACTGGGTTTAATGCTACTTTTCATGGTATTTCACTTACATCACAACATCCCAGTTTACTGTGGGAGGAAAAACCAAAGGGATGGAGGTGTCGGCCATGTAACCACGAACACTGGTATGCCCAAGGGATACTACTCTGCAAATCCAACTGATCACCATGTAGAGGTGGAGGTGACTGTCACTCTCCATACAGGGGAGCAGTGTTGTAGCCGAAAGTGGTTAAATTACAGGGAAGTTACAGAAGCAAGCTTCAGAAGTTGTACGCATGTGGGGAATGGGGTAAAATACGTCTTCAGCCATTTAAATTCACACATTGTTACCAATGTTACTGTAAACTAGCAGTCAATGGAAAACGAGGCGTAATCAGTTCGTGATTGTTGAATATTTAAATTAAGCAAAAACCAGTTTGTTGCTACAACCAAATATGGATATTTAGAGAAACAAAATATATTATGCATTTTTCTGCCAACTACTACTTCGCAAATTTGATCCGTGAGTAGACACAATATATATGATTGTGAATTCTTTGAATAATGTGGACCAAAGTTATAATTATTGGTAACTGCCAGTTGTCTGTGGTCTGTGTTTGCCCAGTGATTAGACCATCCTTTGCGGAGGATCGACTTATGCGCCTAAACATACCATTTTGACACTGATCCCCAGAAGAGGTGTCAAGTTTGGGGAGATCGTCTTATCCATGGAGTCAGTCTTATAGCCGGTAATATACAGTATACATTGTCCAGGTATTACACAACTCACAAATGTGCGTCCAGTAAACACAAAATTAGAGAATTGATGCAGAAAACACAAATACTACGTCCGGAGAGATGGACACAATACCTACAGCACATCAAGGGTAGTTATCTGAGTCTGTTATTTCACCCATCAGCCATGACCACTGTCCACATGACCACTGATTTATTCCAGACTCTGGAGTAATTATCTGAATCTACATTACACCATTTCAATACTTTACAGAACCCCCATATTACCATCAAAGACCATGTAAAATGTAGGGCTGTAATATATGTACCGTTGACATGAAAACGTCCCGATCGCTGATCGAAAACCGGTATTTTGACTTGCATTCTGAAAACTTCAGAACACTTTCAGGTAAAACCTTTTCTCATTTGTTCTATTATCACATCAAAGATCTGGCCCTGATTTTGCTGTGTATTTGCTCTATAAACAAGCATTACCTCTCGTTAAGTAGTTTTTGTTTTGACTTATAGTTATGAGTACATGCTTTTATCTCAAATTTGTAAAATGTAATGGGGTCCCTGGACCCGCACTTTGTAAAAGGTAAAACCCTGGCTGTCACATTCTCCCTGAATGAACAGTTAAATCTGAGTTTTGGCATTAAAGTTTTACTAAAACTTAGTACAGAATTTGAGTGAAAAAGTTCGAGAAATCGTGGCCTGGTTTCAATTCCCCACATTTCTGGTGTCCTCCATGCTGAAATATTGTTAAAAGCAGCATAAAACCAAACTCACTCACTTATTCTCCATAGATGCCTCTGCAAGTCAGCAATTTTCCAAATTCCTGAACCAATTTCACTTATCTTTGCACTTCATTGGTGCCTATTAAGGTGCTGTTAATTGATGTAATAGACTAAAACACATCACACAAAAGAAGTGTAGATACATGTGCTGGCTCCAGATTCTGAATTAGGATTCTGGGCCTACATTTTCAAGCTCTCTTAACGCTAAGATAATCATAAGTTAATGTTAATGTATGGCACTTACGACTATCTTAGCGTAAGAGAGCTTCGAAAATCTAGGCCCTGCTATAGGATCTCCATGTGAAAGAAGTTGGGAACACACTGTCAGATGAGCACTGCAGGCTTCAAACTTGCTGGCCTATTAGTCCATGACTAGTAAAATTCGGCATGGGCTAGTGACATTTCCTTGTGGACAACCACTTGTGAGTGAGCGAGTGAGTGGTTTTACGCCGCTTTTAGCAATATTCCAGCATTATCACAGCGGGGGACACCAAATTTGGGCTTCACACATTGTACCCATGTGGGGAATTGAACCATGCCTTTTGCGTGACGAGCGAACTCTACTACTAGGCTATCCAACCGCCCCGATACTACCTAGAGAGCAACTCTGTTCAGGTTTCCTTGTAGACTACCAACTGTACAGTGATGTAGGTAGCAACTAAGTGAGTGAGTGAGTTTAATTTTACGCTGCACTCAGCAATATTCCAGCTATATGGCGGCAGTCTGTAAATAATCAAGCCTGGACCAGACAATCCAGTGATCAAGTGAGCATGAGCATCGCAATATTCCAGCTATATGGCGCGCAATTGGGAACCGATGACCATGTGTCAACCAAGTCAGCGAGCCTGACCACCCGATCCCGTTAGTCGCCTCTTAAGACAAGCATGGGTTACTGAAGGTTCATTCTAACCTGGACCTTCAGGGGTTGCTAGCAACTAAGAGGAAATATAAGATTATGTAACCTCAATGCAATTGAAAATGGATATCATTTTCTGATATTCTGTCAGAATAGTTTGACACTTCATATTCAAATGCCCCATTACATTTAATCAGCTCCTGCTGTTTAATGGTAAGAATACCTTATCTGGATTTGCGGAATATTTAGAAGAAGCAAGCAAAGAAACACACTGTTAGTATCATGATCATGTGACTTGTCAGTGGTGACATATTTCTATATCTAAATTATTATTATGCACAAAGGTCGATGACCTTAAAACTGAAACAAACTTCTATCTATCTAGTCTGTTCTACAGATAAGTGAACGGGCTATAATCAGCTTGAATAAATGGTTTATGACTTAAAAGGATGAAAGGAAATAGCAAAACAGTTCCTGCTATTGGTTCAGAGGGTTAGGGGGTTCAGGGTCTACAATGAGAATATGTATTTACAAGGTATGTAAAAAAACTAATGCAAAGAGACAATACTTAGTTTGTTTGTTGTCTATTACCCCACTCAGCAATATTCCAGCAATATGGCAGCAGTCAGTAAATATTCAAGTCTGGGTTAGACAATCCAGTAATCAACAGCATGAGTTTCGATCTACGCAATTGGGATACTATGACATACATATGTCAACCAAGTCAGCGAGCCTGACCACCTGATCCTGATAGTCGCCTCGATGCTGAAGACCAATTCTAACCTATAAGACATGAGGCCCTTTCTATGTTTACTGGTCCATAGGGTTATAGCCCATTAACAGCAAATTATCCCTTGAGGTCCAATCTCTACACCCTGGTCCCTCTTTTGGGTTATAACCCTCTCTCATCACAATTATCCCCTGGGGTCCAATCTCTACACCATGGTCCCTCTTTTGGGTCATAACCCTCTCTCATCACAATTATCCCCTGGGGTCCAATCTCTACACCATGGTCCCTCTTTTGGGTTACAACCCTTTCTCATGACAATTATCCCCTGGGGTCCAATCTCTACACCATGGTCCCTCTTTTGGGTTATAACCCTCTCTCATCACAATTATCCCCTGGGGTCCAATCTCTACACCATGGTCCCTCTTTTGGGTTACAACCCTTTCTCATCACAATTATCCCCTGGGGTCCAATCTCTACACCATGGTCCCTCTTTTGGGTTACAACCCTTTCTCATGACAATTATCCCATGGGGTCCAATCTCTACACCATGGTCCCTCTTTTGGGTTATAACCCTCTCTCATCATTATTATCCCCTGGGGTCCAATCTCTACACCATGGTCTTTCTCTTGGGTTATAACCCTCTCTCGTCACAATTATCCCTGGGGGTCCAATCTCTACACCATGGTCTTTTTCTTGGGTTATAACCCAATCTCAGCAAAACATGACAGTGAAAATGAAAATTTAGTATTGTAAAGCAAATGATTTGGGTAGAATTATTCTGATGATCGTGATGTATGATTTCACAGCATACATGGAACTGACAAGCAGAATAAAACCTTCACCAGTGCAGGAGAGGATAGGGCATGGCAAGAATTCGCCCAAAAAACAAAATATAAAATTACAGGAAGTTACAACGCTGAAATTTCGGAGTAGACGCTGTGTCTGGAAGATGCATTGTTGGAAGGCTGAAGAGGAACATAGCACATTTGACTTAACTGTCACCATGGTTACTGACTAAACAATACAACAAAATGAAACAGAGTTATATTAAATATATATATATATATATAAAATAATAAACATGTATGAACTTAAATGCTTAAAATTAATACACAAATAATTTGTCACAAAATCAAAAGTCTGTCTGTAATATTGTGAAATGGTTGATATTTAGATTGACAGATCTAAGACGACCCATATAACAACTGATTTCATGTGGTCCCATCTTGAAACAGAGTTCCATATTCGAAATCTCTGACTTCAAAACCGACAGACATGTAAACAAATGTTTCAAGTCTACTGTGGTAAGCTACAGGCATCTACTTGCAGTTACTATGGCAACCAGGCTGATAAATTATCTACAAGAGGTCAGAATCCATTAAATTCACAAAAATCACCCTGAATATAGTAATTAATTAAAAAGAAATTCATCTAAACTTCTTAGAGCTGTATGACATATTGTATGCATATCAAAGGCTAAACTATAATCATATAGATTCAAGATTTTTTATTTCGGTATTATGGGCCAAATGGCCTATTGTACAATTGCAATAACATTATTTTTTTTAATCTCTTAGTCACATGATTTACAGGAAATATGTTTGAGGAAAACATGTTTCAAGTACAAGGCAACAGATTCAATGGTGTTTATATTTGTTGAGTTCAAAATTGATAACAAAATTTGCTTACTAGGTTGTACATTATATAGCCATGTTAGGTATTTCTCCCGAATATGATTATATTTTGGGCAAACAAAGAATACATGGTAGTCATCTCAATTTCAAGTAATTCACAATTTTTACATACTATATCCACAATATTGCCATCACATGATTTTAATCTACGATATCCATAATCTTTAAAACATGTAATGAAATTCTGAATTTACATAAACTTCTTAAAGATTTATCATTTATGTTTAACAGGTAGTACTCAAGTTGTAACACAGATTTAACACTTGCATATACTGTCAGATATCTGGATGAAGAAATATTATCATACCAATCCTGTGCACGTATATCAAATAAACGTTGTTGTAGATTATGTAAAAATAGTCCCCAACATCTTGGCAAAAATATACAAACTTCTTAGAGCTGTATGACATATTATACGCATAACAAGGCCTAAATTATAATCATATGTAAAGTAATCATAAAGTTAGTAAGGACTTAGTTCTTGCAGTTACTTTAGTTTTCTTGAGTTATACATTTTAGAAATGGTTGATGGATTGAATGACCCAAAAATATACACAGTATAAAATACATCTATATAAGATGATCCACGTTTCATATTTCTGGGGTCAGTGAATATACACTACTAACTTTTGATTGGGTATTTTTACTCAAGAAATACTGTGAAGGTGAAGCATCATTTTATACTACTCAACTTTTCAGAAGGGTATTTTTATTCAAGAAATAGTGAAAGTGAAACATCTTATACTACTCAATATTTTTTAATGGGGATAATTTTTAAACTTTTCATGAATCACAAACTGATTCTCACATGTTAAATATTATACATTTCTTTTCATATCCAGCTAATTCGCCACCGAAAAATAGCGAAAGCCTTACACAGATGAATGCCCCACACACCCCACAAATGGTGCCTCACAGACATGTTTTGTAAATCAGGCCCCGATTTCTCGAAACAAACTTAAGTTCTTACTCAAATTTCAAACTGAGTTTGACAATTTGAAACAGCTGAATTTTGAACTCAGCTGCATTTTTTTAATAAACAAGCCCAAAATACTTAAGTATTCTATTCACCAAACTCAAGTTGTCTACTATGTTTGAGTTTAATATCGATTTCAGTTCATTTTGGGAAATGCATTTTCTCAAATTTGAGTAAAAATTTGAACTTAAGTCAAAACTCAGACTTAAGTTCGTTTCGAGAAATCGGGGCCTGAACCTCAAACAGAATCTCTGTAATATTATTCTCTGTTTCTCAGTATCAACAAAGACCGTAAATTCGTTTATAATATAATTTTTCAGCCTGGTTGTATGGGTGCCAGCACTCACAGACTGACAACAGAGGGCACTACAAGCAGACTACGCACCTGACGTGAGTGCTAGAGATCTCGTTGCCGGCGCTCGACTGCCTACTGTGCGTGAGAGAGCCGTACCCTGAACCCCGTGAATGCTGGCTTGCATAACTCGAACTCCGCGAGTGGCCCTTCTCAAACTCCTTCTCGCGAACAAATTCTGGGTCGGATTGATCTACAAATAACATTTCTTGGTTAAGGATTACCTGTCATGTTAAACATGCATTGTAACATATTTTCTAACCTTTTCAAAGACAATACATTTTAATTGTCTAACAATGTGTAATATTGCACCCATGAGTTGAGATATGAATACATGACACATTTTATGGATAAGAACTTGTTTTTATTCTTTTCACGACGTTTCAGAGCTAATTCTTGCTCCTTCATCAGGTGAACGCTGAGTCAGTGTACAGAGAGTGAGTGAGTGAGTTTAATTTTACGCCGCTTTTAGCAATATTCCAGCAATATCACGGCGGGGGACACCAGAAATGGACTTAACACATTGCGCCCAGTGGGGAATCGAACCCGGGTTTTCGATGTGACGAGCGAACGCCTTAACCACTAGGCTACCCCACCGCCCCTGTACAGAGAGAATATATACAGATAAAACATGTTTACACAATGCAAGGTGGGAGAATGTACAAAAATAACAATATAATTAAGCCAATGATATTGGATTAATGTACAAAGATAACAATGTATTGTAATCCATTGAAGTTGTTATCCATAAATCGTGTCATGCACCCATGTTCATCCAACTTCTAAATGGTTTTCAAAACCTTCATGAGTTGGCAGTTCAATAAAGAAATAATTGAGTCTGGACCAAAGACAGCGTGGACAGACATCAACAGCTACACCGCAGTAGCTTGTAAATGAGAATTTGAAAGAAACAAACCAGTGGTTGATGTCTGAGCACAGGTCAGTTACCATCTTGAACCAATTATTGCTAATTGCTAACTCCCACAACAATCATGTTGAAGTAGGTTACCTAAGTTTTACTTTCCTGACAAGAGCAAAAAATACCTTATAATACAATATTATTTGTTGTTAATAAACTCTCAGACATTGAGGATGGCTGTCATTTTATGTGGAGGTACAAATTCATGGTTTTGGGTAAGTTGGATGGGAAGGTTTGGATGAGCGCATATATTTCGGCAAAAACGTTTGGGTGGGTATGTCTAGGGGGTCATGTTTGGATGGGTTTGTTAAGTGAGTGAGTGAGTGAGTGAGTGAGTGAGTGAGTGGAGTGAGTGAGTGAGTGAGTGAGTGAGTTTAGTTTTACGCTGCACTCAGCAATATTCCAGCTATATGGCAGCGGTCTGTAAATAATCGAGTCTGGACCAGACAATCCAGTGATCTACAGCATGAGCATCGATCTGCGCAATTGGGAACCGATGACATGTGTCAACCAAGTCAGCGAAACTGACCACCCAATCCCGTTAGTCGCCTCTTACGACAAGCATAGTCGCCTTTTATGGCAAGCACATGGGTTGCTGAAGACCTATTCTACCCCGGATCTTCACGGGTGGTTTGTTAAGAAAAGTCTTACTGTGGATTTGATGTTTATATGTGAGTGTGTTTGTGGGGTCTTGTTTGGATGGGTTTGTTTGGGTGGATATGTCTTGCTGTGGATGATTTTGGTAGATATACAGTACAACCAGAAATTATTGAGAATTTAAAGATTGTAATGTGAATATTAGCAGAATATAACTCCAGATTCAAAGACAGGTGAACAGTTAGTATTTTGTCAAGTCACCATGGGCAGCAATGAAGGCTTCAATGCGTCGGGGCATACTACTGATCAAAGAAGTTAGAAAGTCGTGGTCCATGCTGTCCCAATATCGGACCACCTCTTCTTTCATTTCAGCAATATTTGTCAGATTTTTCTTATTGACACTTTCCTTCATAAGTCCCCAAACATTTTCTATTGGATTTAGGTCAGGGCTATAGCTTGGCCAATCTAATAATGTCATATTTTGGGTCCGAAACCAGGCCTGTGAATGCTTTGAACGATGTTTTGGGTCGTTGTCCTGCTGGAAAATCCAAAAATTTCCATAGAACATGTGAGCAGATGGAAGTAAATGTCCCTCGAGAATATCTGTGTACCGCTCACTGTTCATATTCCCTTCAAATACACAGAGGGGCGTTGCCCCTAACACAGATATTCCACCCCACACGTTAAATACTTTTCTGCCAACCCATTGCATGCAGTTCAGTTCTAATTGTCTCCTTACAGACAGCCACAGTTCCTCTATCAATCATATCCAGCCTTAAGTTTTCTAAACTCCTTCGTTTGTTTTTAGAAACAAGAATACCAAGCTGCCTCCTGTCACCGACAGTCAATTTTCTGGGCCTAACTGCGCCTCCCTGGTGCTCAATGCCATATCCATTTGCAATATTTTTCAAAACACGATAAACAGTGGACAAAGGGATGCCTGTTCTACTTGAAATCACTTTAGCTGATTTGATGTCCTTGTTATAATACTCTAAAATCAACTTCCTCTTCTCTAAATCATCCATACTGAGGATCACTGAAAATGTCGTCTGCTTGCAAGTAAACAAAGTGGGATAACTCTTCACAAACTAATGAAAAAGGATTGACGGAGTTGTCCCTCTTGAATGAAACCAAGCACTTGATAGCTGGTCAAGTCCGTTTATACTAGAAATCCAATTAAACATATTCCTAAAATTCTCAATAATTTCTGGTGATACTACATGTGGGTGAGTTTGTTTGGATGGGTTCTCTTGGGTTTATATTTGGTCACTTGATGTTTGGGTAGGTGGAGGTTTGAGTGGGAATGTGTGAATGTGGGAATGTGGGAATGATGGCCATATCTCTGGGGTTCATATTTGGTTGACTTCAGGACACAGACCTCTGGTAATTGTACTGGATTTTTCTTTCCGTGGTAGACTTCCAAAGCCACTGCTGTTGGAGGCCAGACTGCCCTCACTGCACTCGTCTCCAAGGCGGCCCTCGGCTGACTGTCCCTCCTTGCTCTCCGGCACATTAAGGCTTTCTTTGATAGGCCTGGCAAAACATCCAAAGCATGAGGGGTGCTTCTAGCATCAGATAAAACTGGTGGCTATCTCGTGGCTGTATCATAATAATTAATATTTCTTGTCATGCAATGTATTTACTGAAGCAGTCATAAAATATAACACAGCATTCCCTGTACCATCACAGGAGTTGATGTTGGAAGTATTCGTAAAATCATTGTCAAAGTGTACAGGGGGATTCATTATTCTGCTTCAATTCATTTCATTGTATTAAAACAAACAGTTTTCACTCTGCTAGTCCTAATACTAGCCTAAATCCCTTTAGTCTGCTGGTCATGAGACTAATAAAAGTCCAATAATCTGCAAGTCTTGTAAATCCTAGATGTGTTAATCTCAAGCTGAATAAAGAGTCTCTGAATCTCTAAATGTGCCTGTGTTCTCCCATAAAGCTGGGAACATGTTTTCAGGGGCTAAGTGTTAGTCTAAGATAGCGTGTGATTTCACAAGCCTGGGGAGTCAACTCTGCATAGTGAAAGGCAAAGCATCAGACAACAGTCTTCTTCTCCTTGAGGCACTTCGGAGTTTATTCTAAAAATATACTATCAACGCATCAGGCACTTATCTGAGACTCCAAACTAAGTACCCTTTACAGGCAGATAGGGAAAAATAATCTCTTATTTTGTTGAGCACTGGGATTTCTTAGAGTTAAAAAGGAGATATTTTACCAAAATATTCTCAGAATTACCTTAGATGCAATAACTGAAGACTAAACTAATCCTCTGTCTCTGTAATGAATATTGGCCATGTTATCAATGAAGTCCATCATGCTACAAGGCCTATATCTGTTGACTATATACGAACACAAACAGAAGTTTGCGAGGTTTTTACATCAAATCTGTGAATTTTTAGTGACACTTGTTGCAGACTCTGGACACAACGAATGAACAAGACTACACCATCCATCACGGAATTCGTTTTGGGTAAATGAAGTTTGTGATATTGGATTGGTTTGGTGATTACAGCAAAGTACAGGAAAGAACATATTATAAAGTACTTTCATAAGTAAAATAATGTTTGGATAATAATTTGTATGGCTTACATTCTGAAACAGAGTCATAAATCTAACCAAATTCAAAATGGAGATATTAATATTGATAGCATGATGAATGTTATACCATTTATGAGTGAGTGAGCGAGTGAGTTTAGTTTTACGCTGCACTCAGCAATATTCCAGCTATATGGCGGCGGTCTGGAAATAATCGAGTTTGGACCAACAGTGATAAACAGCATGAGCATCAATCTACGCAATTGGGAACCGATAACATGTGTCAACCAAGTCTGCGAGCCTGACCACCCGATCCCGTTAGTCGCCTCTTATGACAAGCATGGGTTACTGAAGATCAATATTATATTCTAACCCGGATCTTCACGGGTCTATACCATTCATGATGGAAAACAGTCCTTACACTTTAAAGACAGGATCGCCAGATATGAGTAGCATCTCGATGGAGACAGTCAGTGTGGAGTTATCTACCCTGTGTTTGTCATCATAACCTTCCAACAGGAAGCGTCGAGTCTGCTGCCCAGACCCTGCAAACTCGGCTAGATTCAGGTCCACGAAGCCCAGCTTCTGGTGGGATCTGCCACCTCGGACCTCCTGAAAACACAGAAAACATTACTGTCATGTATATAATCAGATATATAGGGACGATAAACTCTACACAGTAAACCTTCTCGTAGCCCACTAACCCTAACACTAACCTTGAGCCTCTCTTGATACAAGAAAGACTGACCATTTTACTTTTCATTCCTGAAATTGTTGTTACTTTGTATATATACTACTCAAAATAATTTAAGGGACACCATCATGGTTTAATTACATCAATGTATGTGAACACTAAACATGAAATGTTCACTGACTGTAATCTCCCTCACCATATACTGTCATCTAAAATACAACACAGCTTTAGATACAAAACCAAATACACAGGCAGGGCTCCAGATAATTTTTCAACATCAAGAGTATGTACTCCTTATTTTTTCAATATAGGAGTACTGGAAAAACTTAAGAGTACATTTTGAGTACTGAATGGAATTTAATGGCGTATCAGTAATCCTGTGTTTCGTTTCATATATGCACCACAACATTGCTACTCTTGTGTAAACAGGTCAATAAACAATAAAACAATACTCTTTCAGATAAATACTGTCTGTAAATGATTCCAAGACCATACACCATTGCTGTGGTGCGTATGTGCTAAGTTTTCTAAATTATTTCCTACCGTATCGTGCATATTTTTTATCCGTACATACGCCGATACGGCCCTTATCTAGAGCCCTGCACAGGTGAAGGCACAGACACAGACGCATGCATGCAGAGAGACACACACACGCACATACACACACATACACACTCACAAACACAAGCACACACCTACAAATGTAAAATATATGTTTTCATCTGATGATTTCACCCAAAATAGGCAATGACATGATCTTCAGTGAAACTACCAAACTAAACACTCAGGGATCATGGATATTTTGGGGATATTTAATTAAACTGTGGGCTTGGTCAAAGAGTATCCCCCCAAATATCTATGATCCCTAACTTTTGGGATTCAATATACTCCACAGAGAATGTCGATCCCGCATCTTTTAGTCCATGCAATCACAACAAAACAAGGCCAATTTCGCAAAGCGATCTTAGCACTAAGACGATTGACATTATCCTTCCAAAAACTACAATCAACAGACTCACAACATGCCTAGTTGGACAGAGTCCTGGCAATCTGCCTTCAATTTTAATCTGACAAGGGGAGATAACTGCTGAAAGTTATGACAAGTTCTTTCGATCTGCTTGCCCTCTATCGACTGATTCTCGATCAATGCCAGTACGTGATGACCATCCATTGTTGTGTTGACTGACAACACAAATCAATGTCCCTTACTGGAAACCCGTCGTGTGTAACACCTGATCTTCACGGTGAACTATCAATATGTCCGCTGCACACAAAATTTCTCGGCTAATCCATGACAAACGACTGAGATAAAACAGGAGGAACTTTCAAATACTTTTCTAAATATGATCAATATTTTGGCTGCAAACTCAATTTCTCTCTCACTCTATCACATTAATGAAAGAAAATCGAAAACAACACGCCACTAAATGAATTCATTCAATGTAATAAAACACTTTTTTCTGATGTTAACATCGAGTTCTACAGCACATCCAGAAATGGAGCCACAACACTGTAGCTTACCTAGATGTGCAATCAACACTCTAAAACGTTGACAAAGACAACCACTTTGCTGACAGACAGACAGACAATGCTAATGCTAATTTTGCTAATGCTAATATTTATATTTTGTGCCTAGAATCCAACGTGATGCTGTTCTCTGGCGTTACATTATTACCCTGACGGAATTGTACTTTCGAAGCTGCTACTGAGCGAAGCGCTAAGCGCGCGACCGTGTAGGTCCGTACTTCGGCTTTTCAGGTACCCATTTGAACAGATGGGTGGACTGAGTGCAATGTGGACGAAGTGCCTTGCCCAGGGACACAACACAGTATGAGACCCAGGTCACAAATTTTGGTGTCTCCAAATCATTGCTGTATTCTAATATTTTCTGCATAAATACGGAGGATATAAAAGCACTAAAATTTATGACTTATTAATTTGACGCATAAAATAGTCCAGTTCCCTAAATCTGGTAATTTCAAAGGTGACAAGTTTACAAATACGCACCTTGAGAAAATTTACAGGCTTGGTCAAACAAATTGGCAAACAAACTTGTGCACTAAATGGAACACAAATTGCAAGAATGATCAAGTCAAATTATACTGAGGGAAACAAATAAGGGAACACATGAAAATCAAGTACTTGTTTATTTATGTCCAGGCTTCATCACAAGCATTGTATGCTACCGTGGGTGCAAATCTGAGAATAAACATAGGAATACAGTGATGAAGTCATGTTTCCTGATTTCCTTCCCTTGGTATATTATGTCCATAATTAGAAAAGAACAAAGCACACACATATTGAACCTTACAATGAACAACCCATTTACAAAATTTCATTAGTAGGGAAAAGTGCTGCACAATATAACTGGTTTACCGGTATTTACCGGTTCAGACACGAAAATGATACGTATTGCGATACGCTGATCGAAAACCGGTATTTTGACATGCATTTCGGAAAACTTTGTTACACTCGGAAATCTTCGGATATTTCCGTTTTTTAAGTTGTTCCTTTCCTTTTTTGTATTTGTGCCAAATATTATTTACATTTGTTTTTAGTCATGATTAAATGTTTTTATTAAATCTTAATCAAGCATAGTGATTTTGTTGTGTTTTTGCTTTATAATCAAGCATTAACTCGATTATACGTAGTTTTTTGTTGAAAAAAACTTCTTGCAATATATTGCAATATATGCTTCGGCATCGCAATATATCGCAATATGAAAATTCTCTGCAATACCCATCCCTAGTAGGGAACCATTTGCTGGCATTATCAATTGGTTCACCCTCAGCCCGGTTCACGTTTTTTTCTGTAAAAGTGATCTGAAAATGCCAGGTAATCCGGATAGCATGGTATTAATTGTATCCCACTAAACTGTGATATGCCTTTCATACTGTATGTACTGCAATGGGTTTTTTTTTGTGTTTCAGTATATTGGGTAGAAACTATGTATTGAATACTGCTATTATTTGTATATTTTAACCTAAAATCCACACAGAAATTAATTTGCAAAAAATATTTCCCCATGATAATGTAATGGCAAAATGGTGGTAAAGAACAAACTGAGTAATATTTACTCTAGTGATTGATTGACAAACATATACACTTATATTCCAACAAACAGCAATATATATTTTCCGAATACAGTACTACATGACTGAAACAAAAATGTTACTTATGGCTTAAAAGTGTATTTTTTATATCATATTTTAATATAGCCTACTATGTTTTAAAATTCTGTCATAACCTTTTTATGGTGGCCAATGCTTTTTACTAAGGCAGCATTGTTTATATATTTGTAAATGTGTTGGGTGAGATAACAGTAAATAATCTCTCTCTCTCTCTCTCTCTCTCTCTCCCTCTCTCTCTCTCTCTCTCTCTCTCTCTCCCTCTCTCTCTCTCTCTCTCTCCCTCTCTCTCTCTCTCTCCCTCTCTCCTCTCTCTCTCTCTCTCTCTCTCTCTCTCTCTCTCTCTCTCTCTCTCCCTCTCTCTCTGTCTCTCTCTCTCGACTCCCCCTCTCTCTCTCTCCAACACTATAATGGCTTTGCAGTAGAGCAACATTGATCAATTATAATACATGGCTCATCTTTTCCCACAAAAGCTTTGAGGACTCTTCCCTTTGTGTATATGCATAAACCCTGATAAGATCTTAGTATCGACAGATTGTGTAGCCAACTGTGCAAAAGATGGCCTTGACGAAGCTACCTCCCTGAAGACTATTTATCAGTGGCTCATTATATGAATGAAACAACACAGAGCTGGGTGGGGTGTTTGATCACAAGAGAACATCCAGAAGCTCTATCAATCAAGATTACACCTTTATGCTTGGTGATTAATTATGTGTGGACCAGACAACCAGTGATTGATATTACGAGCAATATTCCATGACACCATGACACCCAGCATGACGACCAGAATAGCGAGGCCATGGCATTGTGTGTGTATGTGTATGTGCGGCTGCTTGTACTAGCCCATTCTGAAGCTGGTTTTATAGTGCTAGGACACTGAGATACCATGCCGCAGTTAAGCATGAATACCCCACTCAGACACATTATGCTGACTCCCAGTCGACCAGTCCTTGTTGTACCCATTAATGCCGAGCGCCAGGCAGGGACCAACAAGTACCATATTTTAACGTCTTTTGGTATGACGCGGTCGGGGACCGAGCCTGCGACCTTCCGCTCTCCGGGCGGAAGCTCTAACCACTACACCACGGAGGCGGTCGAGTGAGTGAGTGAGTGAGTGAGTGAGAGTGAGTGAGAGAAAGTGAGTGAGAAAGTGAGTGAGTGTTGATTAACACTGCAGTCAGCAATATTCCAGCCACAACAACCAGGTTCACTATTATTACCAAAGATCCCAGTGAGGGTGGAGGTTGGCTTTGAGAACGTCATTAAACAGATTGTAAATAATTTATTGTCTTCACTGTCATCATATCAGTATAAAAATACATCTATTGTCCATTGTGTCACAGCAGGTCCTATATCACACTAGAGTAACTGCCTAACAATTAGTGTTGGGAATCGGAAACCAAATCCACTATCGATTTTTTGAGGACTTGTGGTGAACGATTATTGATTATAATAAAAATATATACATTTTCAATGTAACTAATACTGTCATGCAATGAAATGCACGCATGCAAGCAAGACACTGGAATTGTACTTTAACAATAAAAGTGGTTAAAATTTTACAATGTGCATAACTTTATGCTGCAGAGTGCATGTTTGTTTGTGAATATTCATCAAATTTAATGGTTAGTTTACTTCATTCAAGTGTTATACCAAAACAACAAAATTCTGATTAATCGACAATTCTTTTTAATCTTTCTTTCGATAGATTTTCGATTATTTTCGATCATCGGAACACCACTACTAACAATCACATACATTGCTGCCACAGATTAAATGTCTTCTACTTC